ATAATATAAAATAATTCATATAAAAACCTGGCGTCTACGATTCCTTGAAAAATATTTTCACGAATTCAAAGTTTTAACATAAACAATAGTTTTGCAAATTCCATAGTTCTTAGAAAAGGCAAAAAAAACTGTACAGTGGTTACTTTTTACTATTACTTTTATCCAAAGAAAGTTATGATGTTTGCATTGAACCTTTTAGCCAAATAAACCGCGTGTAAGATTTGCTATTCGTTTAACAGACTGTGGCAAGTGACACACATTTTTTGAGATTATGCTCATGTTGTTCACCTTCCTGTTGAATTACCACGATAAAACTGTAAAAAACAGGGTCAAATGAATATCACAGGAAGGATGGGTTGATATGACACTATTGTTAATCATCGTCATCGCATAAACAACGTTCCTGCTTTCAAAGAAAAACATGTTAAAACTTGCTGCTGTAGCCGTTTAACATATGTAAATTAAGGACATAGAATGTGTTTTTATGGAATTAACAGTAGGTACACTCAATAGTTGTTTGTGTATCAAGGCCATAAAGAAGAACTTTTTCGGTCGGTCTGAACTCAAATAAAATGAGGCCGAAAAAGTTCTCTTTGGCCGAGGTACATATAACGTTTTTCAGGCGACCAGAGAGAAAAATAATTGGTATACCATAAATGTTTCACAACGGTTTTCAGTAAAAGTGGAGTTTAAATGAAAGTGCTTTTGGGCTTTTTTTATTTAAAAAATGTTGGTCAAAAATACAAGGCCAAGGACGTAAACGTAAATTTTCGACATACATATATGTACAAAAAAGTGACAAGTCGGTCCAAAAATTTAGACTAGATTTATAATATCTAGTCGTCTAAAAAATTTGTTGTGGCTAAAGGGTTATCATTGGAATCCACTAGATAAAAATACTGAAAGTGGCATTTGAGAAAACGGTGAGAAGTTGCTTATTCAGAATTATTGGAATTCTTATTTTTTAGTTTTTTTCTCTAGAACCAGTTTTTACGAAACTATGGTTCCTGAAAAAGTTTGGAAATATTTGTTGCATGAGTGAGAAATTAGCCACATGAAACACATTGCACAACAAAATTTTTAAAGTAATTATGATAAAATTAAAATCGGATTCATAAACCACGAGTAGGTACAGAAGTACATTATTTTATAAAATTTAGATAACATTTACTACCCAAAATGATGAGGGAATGTCATCAAATTGTTGGTGAAGATCATTGGACAAATTCTGGTTACCGTTTTACCTTCAACACAAAATTCTTAAATCACGTATAAAATTTGACAACAATCAGAGCTCACGTTGGAGAAGTAACAAAGAACTTTACTATCAATTTACATTTTGTATTATACACACCCCATGAAGCTAAAACCTTTGTCTTGTATTTAAATGAAGGAAATTAATAGTTAAATTAATTTAATTGACCTTAATTTGTTTTGATATCCACATTGTAACTTTCACCGTAAGATTACTGCGTTTCTAGAATTGTTTTTGAGATAATAAATAAAAATTACACCAATATCTTCCTCTTTTTACTTCCCGAGCGTAAGCGAAAGAAGTATTGTTATCGAGTCCATGGGCCGATTATCTACTTTTACGTTGTCTCGACGTTTCATGACCACTAGAGTACGAAGAAATGGGTCTCCTGTTTCCGTCTGTCTGTCTGTCTGTCCGTCTGTCGGTTTGTCCGTCTGGCTAGTACTTGCTAAGATAAGACCAATTTTGGGTAATGACATAGCCTCTAAGAAGGGAGAGGGTGGGCGGGCGTAGCTTGTACCTACTAAGATAAGAATGATTTTGGCAAATGAAAAATACTCTAAGAAAAGAGAGGCGAGCGGTACTAGTACTTGCTAAGATAAAACTGATTTTGGCCAATGAGATACCCTCTAAAAAAAGAGAGGGCGGGTGGGTGGGGCTAGTACTTGCTAAGATAAGCCCGATTTTGGCAAATCACAGCCTCTAAGAAAAGAGAGGGTGGGTGGGCGGGCCTAGTACCGACTTAGATAACACTGATTTTGGCAACTGAGATATCTTCTAAAAAAAGAGAGGCGGACGGTACTAGTACTTACTAAGATCAAACTGATTTTGGCAAATGAAATACCCTATAAGAAAAGAGAGGGCGGGTGGGAGGGGCTAGTACTTGTTATGACTGATTTTGGCAAATGACATAGGTATTCTCTAAAAAATTTAATTAAACTATTGTAAGAAAAGACACTAGAGGTTCCAAAGCACTTTCAGATTCGTTTGGATATATATATCTGGGATACCTAGAACCTCAAGATTCTTTAAAATTTTTCAAAAAAATAAAACGGGGTCCCAAAATTAACTCGAAAACAGGTCAGGTCAGAATTTTCCTAAATAACATCAAAGTCCCCTAAAATTGTTTTAAATAATTTACAAAAAAATCTTCTTGAACTCCCAAAACAATACACCATGGGTACCCAAACACTGCGGCACTCCAGACTTTTTCAGATTTGCAAAAAGTAAAACACTGAAAGCTCAAAATCAGTCTTTTCTTAGCAGGAACTAGCCCCGCCCACGCACCCTCTTTTTTTTTAAAAGGTATGTGGTTTGCTAATATCAGTTTTAACTTAGCAAGTACTGATGACTAACTTTTACAAAAAAATATCAAAATTTGGAAACATTACGAGCTTACTCATATACACAAGGTAATTTTGAACATCTCTAGTGTTTAGTTGGTTATGCTTTAAATGTCTAATTAAATTTTTTTTTTTTGGTTTATTTATTAGTGTTTTCTTAATAATAATGCACGATTAATGACTACTGATTGTTATGCTTATTGTCCTAAAAAAAATAAAAGGTGGATTTCAGTGACCACCGTCACTAAGAAATCAGGAAGTAAGCCGGACGTATTCACGGATTAGATGCGTGCAATGTTGCCAATTTTACTTTTATAAAATTACATTTTTTTTTCGTAGTCTACATCATAAAGAATTTTTTCATTATTATTTTTTTGGGATTTCCGAAACCCCCGTACATAACGTACTAAAGAGTTAATCCGCCATTTTACAGACACCTAATATAACACAAAGAAAGTTTTGTTAAAAATAAAAACAGTTTATCGTCGTTTTGTAAATTTTAGTAAAAATCACGCATTTTTAAAAATCAATAACTCAGTTATTTATGAAAATTTCGGAACGCACTTTTCAAGACTGTTTTCAACTTACAAAACTCTAAAAATGCTACTAGATATATTGTTGACTTTTTTTTGTCGGATTTTGGTTTCTGGTACGATTTCTAGAGTTTTATAAGCTGAAAACAGTGATGGCAACCGCGTTCCAAAATTTCCATAAATATGTGTGTATTTATATTAGGAATATCATGTAGATGGTAAAACGCTAACCAAAATTTGTCCAATCATCCCCACCAATAATATGGGTTTTAAATTGTATAAAATAACATAGTCCTACACATGTAGTTTATGACTTCGTGTTGAGTTTTTACCCGAAACGTCAAAATTTTTGGAAAAAAAAAATTAAAATTATAACACTTTAAAATCTAATTTTGAATCTGCAAAACCGAATGCTTCGAAATTTTGCAGATGTTTTAAGGTTATGATGGTCATGACAAATTTTTAATCAAAATGTATTTACTTATCCCCCCAAAAAATTGATGACGTCAGCTCAAAATTTTGCCGAATAAATCCTTTATAAAATGTAGAAAATATCTGTACTTGTGACTTATCATTCCATTCATATATTTTGGATTTGCTTATACAGGCCGACTCAAAAAAAATAATGCATGCAAATAAATACATTTATTTTATTGATAAGGAACTACAACATCGAATGTTTTGAAATCTTGGCGATGTAAAGTTATCATAAGCCTGGTAAATTTTTGATCAAAATGTACTTATATGCTTATCCCCCCCTAAAAAATTGATGACCTCAAAATTTTGCTGAACAAATCTTATCTTAAACGTGCAAAATATGATGAGATTGATGAGTCTATACTTGTGAGTTATCATTGCATTAATATTTTTTAAGTTTGCTTATAGTCAACTCAATTAATGACTGAGTCAATTTATTTTACTGTTTAAATTAAGAATTGCAAAACTGAATACTTTCAAATCTTGCAGACGTTTTGAAGCTATTGTAAGCATAGTCACTTTTTAATCAATAAACCCGTAGACAAGGCCGTAACTAGGGGGATGCTGAGCCTCCCACCGAGTTATAATTAATGAAATGTGAATTACAACATCGAAAATCAAAATAAAATGTAATTCTTTGTTCAATAAGCGGAAGTCAGAGCAATAAAAATGTCTGAACCGTCGGCATTGTGATCCGGTTATTGCAATTTGTAGAAAACATCTTTTAGTTTAATTTTTGTTTCACTGTCATCACGTCTACAGGTTGATAAGTGTTATCGCTATTTGTCTTAAATCACGGACGTAATTAAATTGTTTCCTTATTTTATTGATTATAAATCACTATTGAAGAATAACTAACATTAATTCACCATTCAAGAATGACAATAATACAATACTTTTGTTATTAGTATTACAATGCATCTATCCAAACTGATGTATGCGTCCTTGCAAACAAAGTGGATGATAACAACACAAAATTTTGTAATACAAAAACCGAACCGTTAGCACGTTTGTTTACCTTTAGTCAAACATTAGATACATATTTTTAATTTCGTTTATATTGGTTGCCATAAAAAGACAAAAAAAATCGCAAAATCAAATCTTTTAATTTTTCGAAAGAGCTGGATTTGACAAGCTGTATTTTATGAGCTAGGGAAGTTCTGTCGAACTAATCTCCTACCAATTTTTTAAACAACATGTTTAACCCTAAAAATCTGGTCTACAGTAATTTGGGCAGAAGTTCCCTTGGTCCTAAATGAAAATTCCTTAAATAAATCCAATTTCATAGACAAATTTTAATCTTGATTTTGCAATTTTTAAAGATAATAATCGATGTTAAAATAAACATGATGATTGATTATGAAACTTTACGTTAAGTAGGTGTAGGTTTCAAGTGAGACTTTCTAAATTAATTTTGTAATGACATCATCAACTTTTTAATGAGGATCAATTTGTTAACTTTGATGAACACAGTGCAATCTTAATAACAACAGAACTATGCTTCTAAAATTTTGGAAAAATTAGGTAAACAGTTTTTAATTTAATCAATAAAATAAAATGAGTCATTAACTAGTTTTTGAGACATCCTTTATGGACAGTTATTAAAGGTCTGCATAACTAATAAGTTAGAATTAAAGAAACGTGTCATTCTATAAATTTATAAGTAAAATTTAGTGAGCAAAATTTTGACGTCATCAAGTTTTTCAAACGGATGAATAGGTGAATTCTGATTAGAAGGTTACGATGCTTGTGACAACCTTACAGCTTGTGGAAAATTTCAGACCAATTGGTACCGTAAATCTAAGTTAAATAGTAAAATTTTGTTGTATAATTTTGTTTTTTCCAAAAATTTATATCCCTAAGTTACAAATAGATATCAATATGTTAGTTTTAGACTAGGACATTGTGGACATAATAAAAATTAATAAATCACCAAAAAATAGTGCCAACGTTCTTTAAAATATATACCTCAATGTTTAACACCGAAATTACTGAGAATATCAAAAGTTGGGAACACGAAAAAATTACTAATAAATAATGAAAAAAATCTAGGAACTTGAAAAATAAGAAAGGCTCAAAATTATACACCCAAAAAGCCCGTGAGATACCTCAAAACGACAAAGAATATAATACATATATATTTTAATTCATATAAGAATCTCTTCTTGTTGGTATAGCAGTTGTACAGTTCGATACTAGCTATTATAAACTACTGACTTCTAAAAAACAACAAAAAATTATCTTATCTAAGAAACTTTTTTTCAAATAAAACTGATACACTGAAGTTCGATTTTATTTCTTCCATGTACTTGCGAATGAAAACCATAATTCTCTGAAACAATGGTTCTGTCAATGGAGCGATGGATCGGTAAAGTGGCTGTCATAACTGGAGCCAGTTCCGGCATCGGGGCTGCCATCGCTGAAAAACTAGTGAAAGAAGGAATGAAGGTAACATCCGTTTAAAATTCACTTTCATACTCCATATAAGAAATAAATCTTCAGGTGGTTGGCTTAGCACGTCGGGTACAGCTCATCGAAGAAAAATCAAAGACGTTAACAACCAGCAGCGGTATTCTCCACGCGTTTAAAACCGATATTACCAAAGAAGAAGATGTTTTAAGCGCATTTAAATGGACTGAAGAAAACGTAGGACCTGTCTCGATTCTCATAAACTGTGCTGGAGTGTTTAAAGATCCTTCTTTGATGTCTGGTAAAACCGAAGAATATAGACGTGTCATAGATACTAATGTAACAGGGTTGTGTGTTGCTACGAGAGAAGCCGTCAAAACCATGCAAACTAACAAAATAAGTGGTCATATCATCCACATGAATAGTTATCTTGGCCACGTTATTCCTCCTTCTCCAGGATTGAGCATATATGCTGCCTCCAAATTCGCTGTAACCGCTCTTACTGAAACTCTTCGTCAAGAATTGTTAGCGGCGAAAAGCAAAATCAAAATTTCGGTAAGTGTAATATTGCTGAAAAGTTCAAAATGTGTATAAAATAGGTTTCAGAGTGTTAGTCCTGGAATGGTTGAAACTGAAATGACAGTTTTTAGTAAGGAATTGGATAAAGAAAGGCTGGAACTTTTGAAACAATTGCCGTCGTTAAAAGATCAGGACATTGTAGATGCTCTAATTTATATATTGTCAACACCTCCTCATGTTCAGGTAACGCGTTTTATTAAAAAAAGTATATATTTACATTTCTTTTAATATCGTTACAGGTACATGAATTAATAATTAAGCCCGTAGGTGAACAAATATAATTGATTGTTGTTTGTTAATATAATTTGTCATAAAATGTAAAATTTGCTGTTAATTAAAATTAAAAACTCTAGATAACGTCTTGGTTTTTTTTTAGGTAATAGTTTATATAAATTATGTAATTAATTCTCGAAATCTATTTTAGCATGAAAAATATTTAATGTTTCGTTAAAGAGTTACACAATTTTTTTTTTGTACAGATGCACTTATTTTGTAACGAAATGATTTCTTAGAATACTTTTGTACTGACTTATTAATGGCAAGTGCATTTCTCTAATCTGAGTCATTGTGTTTCGCTTCTTGAATATTAAGCAATTTTAACGAATTACTTCATTCAGTACTTTTTGGTTTGACGTAAGAAGCACATCAAAACACTACATTAGTAGTGTGGTAAATATGGTAACATGTCTTTCACAATGTTCAACAATGCATGTTTGTACAATGTAATACATTTTAAAAGTGGACTCTCACAGTATTCTGGAAAAGAAAAAAAAACCCCAGTAACTGTTAAACTTGTGCTTTTGTTTCAAACTTTAGGATAAGAAGGTATGTATCTATAAATTTTCCTCTAATTTCGACATCAACATTTTTTTAATTTTCCACTATACTTCACTAAAAAATAGTTATTGTTTTCACAATGGCGATAACGCACATATCTTCTTATTGTTCAAAATCGAGTCGTCAGTTTTCATATAATTATCTGTTGACATTTTGTCAGTTTTTTCGAAATTCGTCAAAAGTAATATTTTAAATATTTTTTGGTTTATATTTCACATTTTCGGATGTATTATTTTAAATGTTATACATTCAGTTTATGATATACAAGAACTACTAATCCAAAGACGTGATCAAATGTAAGTAAAACATTTTTAATTTAATCCTAATGATAACATAACAGGTGAAGATTTCAACATGAAACACATTACACTGAATAAAAAGTTGCCTAATTTACTGTAAGTAAATGAAAAACAAAATATTTACACTTGTGAAAACACACAGGTCAAGTGGATTTCTATCTTTTAGTTTTATATTACTTATAGTAATACAAAACGTAGTAAACTTAAGTTCAAATCAATATTTACAACTGCTGTTTTGAAACCATCACAATTAATTAAATGAAATCTCCATTTGGAAAAAAATCCCATCATATGCTACGGTTCTTTTTCATGATTTGCGTGTCATGTAAATCTATCTAAATGAATCCCAACTGCGAGGATATATTGAGGATTTTCTAAATGTAGCAAAAAATTTTAAATTGTGTACTGATACTGAAGGTAACAATAAATATATCTACCAAACTAATTTCAAACATTAAAAACACTTTTTTCTTGATAAAAACATGATTTCGTTAAAAAAAAACAGTAACTTGTTTAATAATTACACTTTCTAGCAAAAATTGTACATAATTATTTGTTGCTCATACAACAAGAGAAGGTCTTGCCCAGGCTAGCGGATTTACTGTGTCCATATTGATGAACTCGCAAAAAGACCGCAAATTGAGTAGATTATTTTTGAAATTCCGATGTGACGTTGGTATGTTCTTCTAATTTTCTTGAATCTTTTTTTGTTCATGTAAAGATTCACGAAAATATCGCAGTAGGGTTAATTATTATAACAAGGTTATAATTTTTTATAGTTAAAAAATATAGTATAAACTGACAACAAATTTTTGTTTCTTTCGTATATTTTCAAAATATATACTGAATTTGTGAGGAGGTTGTGGGTTTATCAGTGTTGATTTCTTTAATTCGCACTCATGGAAATTATTATTTTCAAAGGTTTAATGTTTTATGCGTTTTGTTGTTGTGTTATCAAATAAATAAAATTTTTATATCCAGAATGTTTATAAAAAATCTAAAACATTACAGTTTTCAAAAGTGCATATTTCAGTTTTTTCAACCAGATCGCCTTATATTTTGTTAGTACTCTAATCTAATTACTCTATTTTTTGTTCTCATTCTTCCGATATCTCGGTGTATCTCCTAAAAACTGAAAAATAAATAGATATGTGTGTAATAATATCAGAACTGTATACTCAAATTTTCGAGAAAATGGGCTGAATCGTTCTTGATTTGATCAATAAAATAGATATCATTATTAAATTTTTTTTTGAGTCACCCTGTATAAATAAATTGGTAAGTTTTCTCGTGTTCCCTAGTTCCTCAAGTACAAGTCAACAAATCTCGCTTCTTTGAGAAACTGTAAAATTACATTTTGCGATGTCTGTTTTCTGTTAACCTCTGTGAAGTAAAAACCAGCGCCATAAATAACCCTTTCGCAGCTCCTGCGTCGTGGGAGCGCAAATTGCCAGGGATTGTGCAAATTGCACAAGACGGACAATGTAAAATTTATTTAAAGGAAATAACCAACGGGAAAAGTGACCTCTCAGGAATAATAACAAACTTTAACTTCAAGTGTTTGTGTATATATCGGAAGAATGTCACTTAGAAATGTATTTGATTTTAATGAGCTTTTTGCCTTAAAACATAGGGCTAAAATTGTTAATTAAACAGTTGAACAGACAGTCGAATAATTCCTCTAGAAATTGCTGCGATCACTTTGGTGATACAAATTTTTAAAGGAAAAAAATTGAGAAACTGTAAACGGCGTTATTATTAACATATACACAACGACATAATGTTCTGAATATTATTATTATTCTTATTAAATAAAGACGTGCATATTCTCACCTTTCCGAGAAAATGAGACGACTCGTTCTTAGTTTGATCGACAAAAAATGTTTTATAACGTCATAAATATAGGTAATACACAGCGCCAGAGAAAAAAAGAAAAGAAAAAAGCAAACGGCTAAGTTTGGCATCGAACCGCATGGCCACAGACGGTTATATCCTGAGTTAGCGGTAAAATGTTATTGCATTGTGTTATTTTTTTGTGAACATTTGGCCATTTAGGGAAGTACTCAAAGGGGAACCTAACATCACAAATATAGGAGTATATTATTGTATAACATTTGAACCATTTTAAAGTAGAATTCGTTGAAATGCTGTCATCAAATTGTCGGTGGGGATGATTAACCAAATTTTGGTTAGCGTTTTACCATCTGTGTGATATACCAAATATTCATACAAAATTTGACAACAATGGGTCCAGTAGTTTCGGAGATTGCGTGTCTAATAAAAATCGAGACAGACTCCAGACAGGCGGACAGACGGACAGATGGAAACGGGAGACTACTTTTTTTCGTACTCTAAAGGTCATGAAACGTCCAGAAAACATAAAAGTGGCTGTTCGTTCGATGTGCTCGATTACTATACTTCTTTAGCATACGTTCAGGAAGTAAAAATATGAATATATTAATAAACGACAGGTACTTACTGATAACATTTTGCATATTTTAGACTGGATATTCGCTAAAATTTTGAGATGATGTAATCAATTTTTTGACCGGGGACAAATAGAAATTTTGGTTAGCGTTTTATCATCTACCTACACGATTGTCCCACCATACACAAAATAAAATGTGACAACAATCGGTCCAGTCATCAAAAATAACACAGATGACAGACGGACGGACAGACAGACAGACAGACAGATAGGTAGGCAGACAACAGAGAGACATATGACAATAGACAGACGACAAACAGACAGACGACAGAGAGACAGACGACAGACGGGCGGGAACGCCAGAACTACTTTTTCGTAGTCTGAGAGTGATGAAACGTAAAAAAAAACATGAAAATAGCCAATACTTCCTTAGCTTATACTCGAGAAGTAAAACTTTCCGGAAAATTGGAATAACGTGATAACGTCGCATGGAAATCCCAAAAATTATCAGGCCAGTAAGAATATTTAAAAATATATAGAGTGTTGTACTTAAAAAACCGTACAACTTTAGCCCCCGACTTTTCCAATGTCCAATAATAATTAATCACATTTTGAGGAAAATATCCCTAGTGAATGACTCTGAATATAAAACTCTTCTGGTTTAATTATTATTAAAAATTCCCTCGCCCCTGAAATACAATTAAACAAATTCAGCTTTTTCGAAAAATTATAAAATTTGTTTGTGCGAATTTTATTTTTTTATGAGAACCCTTAGAAGTTAAAATAAAGATATGTATGTAACGGTAAAGTAAATGTAAAGAAGCGTTCTGGGCGTACGTTCCAAATGAGTTTTCTCTTAGCAAAATCTTGTGATGACGTCATCAACATTTTTACAAGGATTTAATGAATAAAATAAATTGACACATTCATGAATTTTTATGAGCCACCCTGTATGATATTTTGTACATTTTGGATAGTATTTGTTCGGCAAAATTTTGAGATGACGTTATCAGTTTTTTTGGAAGGGGTAAACGAATAAATTTTGTTTAACGATTTACCATGCTTGCGTTGACCTTAAAATATTTACAAGATTTTCGAGAAATCGGTCTTGCACTTTTAAAATTTTTCCAAATAACCTGGATGTCTAGGGTCAAAATTTGACACGGATTCACACACCACAAGTACATAAGTATGTTATTTTATAGAATTAAAAAAAACTTTTCATTATAAATATGAGCAAATTGTTTGTGGGGATGATTAGCCAAATTTTAGTTACCATTTAACCATCTACATAATTTTTCTAACATACATACAAAATTTGACAACAATCGGACCAGTCGTGTGGGAGATCACGTCTCTAATATAAATGGTTACAGACAGACAGACAGACAGACAGACAAACAGATGGACAAACGGACGGAAACGCTTACGCTCGGAAAGTAAAAAAATATTAAATGGGGCCGTATCAGTTTAGGTACCTACTTATCAGCATAGAAGTTTGAAATTTCGAATGATAAATTATGATCATTGTTTTTTCCGGAAATTGCGAATTTGTTTTTTCCAAATAGAATGTGACATATTTTTTAGGTGGCTTAAATGGAAAGTTTTTTACCCGTGGAATATATTTTTCTTTTTTCACTTCATTGAAGTGCTTAAATTATTTATTAAAAAAAAAAAAATTGAAATAGGGCGATGTCACACATTTGACGTTTCTTTAATTTGGAAATACGAATATGTAGTACATATAAATATTGTGTGATACAAATTTTTGTGTTGGTAATTCTGAATTATTGACATCCGTGGTAGTACGTCAGTCTACAATTGTCAGTTTTGACATGAACCCGCTTAACAAACGTTTTGATTGGTTTAGGTGATGACAGCTATCATAAATGTCACTTTGACCATCAGGTATGGAATTCGAGTTATTAAGAAATAAATTGTTGAGTTTTACCCACGCCGATTTTATTCACCGAACAACGTAACAATATCTATTGAAATTCTGTAAACGCCATTGTTTTTAGCTTGAAGGGGGAAGTTCAGTTAAGCTTGCCTTTTCAGCTAAAAATACTGACATTTCCAGAATTTCAAGATATAAGGCTACAGAATTTTATCTGGGATATACTCATGGGCGCCCATAGGGGGGGGCCAGGGGGGGCGATGCCCCCCCCTGAGATTCTGCGTCAATTTCCTTTTTATTTGTCAAAATTAAACTTCAGCACATTTGTAAGAGTAGGTACGGTCGTGTACAGTGAATTTCGTTCACCCAATTTCTTTGACAGAAAAAAACTCTAAATTAGCCCTTAGATCTTTCTAACCTTTTTTTGTCATTTTGACATAAAGGGGCAAACATTTTTTTATACGATAACTAACACTAGTCCGCGGTAAGCCCAAAAGTGTAGCGACATCCCGTCTTGGAAAAGGAAGACTAGTTTACCTTCATTAAAATAACTTATCGATGGCAGGTTCGAAGCTAAATTAAATTTGACAATACTTACGTCAGTCATCATGACAATAAAGCATCGACTACACTTTCAGTTTTATGCCCACACAAACACAGAAATGTGACAAACTTAGACCATCTGGTTTTGAAACCCTCTATTCGGCCCAGATTTGCCTGGAAACATCATAAATCTATCCTTTTTAACCGGTACTGAATTATGGGTTGTTTCGTTATTTGCTTTTTACAGTTATTACAACACAAGAGCAAACATTTTATTGCTTACGTCCAAAAATTCATTCCGTTTTCACTTTTTATCTGTGGTGAAGTGACGTGTAAAGACGAACAGTTGTTAAACCGGCGTTTTGTTGACTATACTTTTTATTATTTATTTATTTCAAAATACAAGCGTAAGTACTCTTGATTAAATGTCTGTTTAAATTTTAAATTTAATATTTTATTTAAAAACAAAGAAATATGGATATATGAAATTTCTTCAAGAGAAAAATTACAAATACTGATGATGATACTTCAGCTAATAAGAAGTATAAAATAAGTGGTGTTATTTATTACTACTGATGGCGGGTTTTCAGAGTAGTCATCGACTTCGAGTGGAAATTTCGGTTGCTCCAGAACTGTTTCACCAGTGGGCGTGCGAACTACAACACAGATAGCATAGAAAATTATTATTTTGGCACTTTTATTCCATACCTGGATCATTTCATTCTTTCCTTAACGACATGATTTTCCGAAACAAAAGTGTCATCATACTCATTATTTTCCTTACATCCAAAGAATGTGCATAACTTAAAACCAAGTTGCTTTAAAGGGTTGGGCGAATTTTACTCCACTGACAATTTATCAGACGAAATCCAAAATTGGCAGGATTTTGTAAAAATAAAAAAACTTGACAGTAGTATTTGAGAGAGAGAGAGAGAGTTAATGCCGAAGAAACATCTGTTGGTAGAGTAATTGACGATTTTGGCCAAGAAAAAAGAAATTAGCAATTTGCTTTTGATTAATTTTATATTTTTATAACTTTTTAATTTTAATATTTTACACTGTTTTGTTACTAATAAGAATAATGATGTTGTAGGGTTATTTGCGAGTAGATTTGATTAACGTAGTTGATGATTAAAATATATATTTATAATAGTAAAGATTTATATCATAATATTATTGATATATACAAGAACAGAGTATATTACAAAAATTTCAGCGTGGCCCCCCCTGAGAAAGGTTTCTATGGGCGCCCATGGATATACTGTATATTAATCATTTGAGAATAAATAAAAAAACGTTTTTTTAGTACACATTTTCAATAAAAGGAAGAATTAGACGTACAACTTGACTGGAAACTCGTATTTGGAATGTTTGAAAAACGATTTAATTCTTGCCGTGGCAACCAACCGTCCGAATGATGAAGATCCAGATGTGCTTATGCCCAAATTTGAGTTCAGTAACTTGCTGCTCCGTCTGATCATGCTGTAGATAGTTGTTACTATTTTTGGAGAGACAGGAAAACAGACTCGACTTCAAACCATTAAACTTCTTTCTGTGGGGTTACTTTAAGTCCATTCAATAGTTCCTAAAATAATTCGAAATTCTTGTCTTTTAATGAAATTAATATTGTTGTAATTTGTAATTTTTCCTTGTTTCTGTTTCCAACCAGTGTAATAAAATGCGGCCAATGTATAAACTAAACAGCCTTTACGGACACACTGTATAAATAAAACATGATAATTATAATAATTAAGGTAGTACTTCACGTTGTCCTCCGATCCGATTTTGCCGCACCTTCCCCTACTCAATACCATCGAATGCTTTATTTTATTTAAAATTATTAGTTAGTAGTGGTATAGTTTATTACAAAAATTTGATACTGTACACACTTTTTGGGTAAAGTTTTGCAGTACCAAAAACACATAGACCTTGAACAAATACCACGTGGTAGGTACTTACCATTCAACAACAAATTACGAATAAATAATACATAACTAAAAATTAATGTCGCTGATTATATTCATCGACTGATTGAATAATTTATATAGTGCCTAATTATGGTCATACGTCATACCAACGGTACATGTTTATGCTTGAAGACAGAAAAGGCTTCCGATCGTTGCCGTCATGAAATTCAAATTCGGTCTGAAAACGGAGATTCAGTCGACCCCGCGAAGCGTAAAACCGGAAATAGCGTGCAATTAATCCAAATAATAATAGACGGAACAAAGAGAGAGGGAATCAGTAATACCGGGCGCTTATTGGTCGCTCCTGCATGCAATTGTTCTTCGGTTCCCAGCCGCGAAATAATACAAAATAAAACAACAGTTTCACATTAACCTGTGTGTGAGACTCGACCAAATTCCAGTTGTTGCTAAAAATGGTGAGTTGTAGAAATTTCTAAAAAACTTACAACCGTCTTTCGGTTAAGTGGCTTGTTGCTAAGTTCCCGTTGCTAACTTCAGTGTTAATTTTGTAGTTAAAAATTACTCATGTAGGGGACGTTGGTTTCGAGGAGTGCAGTCTGTTAGGGAATGCAAATGTAGTTTTGTCTTTTCTAAGAGAGCGTGGTGGAAAAATGCAGCAGCAATCATTTTATATAAATAATGGGCGCTAGTAGGTAATCGTGTTAATATATCAAAACCGGAATTTCCTTGGATACGTGTGTTACCAACACGTCGATTTACATATTAGTTTTTCATGGTAACAAAGTGACGACTGGTAAACTTGTTTATAATACACACAAATAACTTTTAACGAGTTAAATAGTTGAGAAAATTGCCTCTAGTTTACATTTCTTTCAAACGTGAAAAAATCTAGTAATACTTAAAATATATCCACGAAGATAGTTATTAATTTAAACTCCTTGTTTTTGAAATCCAGTCAGAGTGGCATATATAGTTTGGAGAAAATTCATGTAAGAATCTGTAAATTAATGTAGGTTGTGAATATAATTTTGTACAAGTACAAGTACAGAAGCGTTATATGTTGCCAAAGAAAAAAAAATACATAAATAGACATAGAATTATAACTGTTCACTTGAGTTATTTTTCGCACGAAATTCGAAACTAAATATTTAATGAAATCGAACTTTTACGGCGGAAACGCAGTTTTGATAACACATCATTGTTACTATAACAAAAGATCTAAAAGGTCTTAAAGAAACAGTAGTGGCTTCTGTTGGTTCCGTAAAGCTGTTTTAACTTTTTATGGTTTTATGAGTTTGTTACGTTGCGCTATCACCCCTAGGTATGATAACGATGATACTGAAGTTATAATTTCGTAAAATTTGTTCGATGATTAACTCTTACTAGGGCATGATTACGACTCTTACTGGGAATATTTCCTCGAAACTAAAAAACACATTTACATCTCTTTATGTTAAAGTTCAACAAACTACTGTAAGAACTGTACTTTTTGTTCTTATGATGATTTATGACTATTAGTTCTTATCGCCAAGTAATTATGCAAATACATAAAGTAATTTACTTTTTAATAAAAAACCGTAAATGCATTTAAACGGATCTTACAAGTTTATTGTTTGTAAAGAGATAATAAACGGACTGGTAACACGATTATTTATTTATTCAAAACTGTATTTCAATTTTGCTTCGATGTTTCATATTAAAGACTTAATGCCTGTATACTAAAATTAAACTCTTTGATCTACCGCTTTATCATTATTAAACAAACGTATTTTATTTCGGATTTATATCTAATGGATATGACTTTTGGCTCCAAATTTATATCTTGTTGAAAAAAACAACAAAATTTAAGTTTGTTCCAGCAAAATTTGTAAAAAAATTATAAAGATGAACGTCATTCAATTTTGGATGGCATTAACGGCTAAATTTCGATTACCGTTTCCACTATATGGTAATACACATACCTAACAATAAGAGCTACACCTTCATTTATTTAGCGTATAATCCATCTATAATAAAGTTAGCATCAAACAGTGGGCAGGCGGAAATGACAAACCTACATTATCGTATTTTACGACCTGTGAAATCCCCAGTCAAGCATAATAGTTTGAGAAATATGATAACTAAAACCCTGAAATGGGAGAAAGCTGTTGTATTTTGGGGACCTTTTCGCGGCGCGAGGGTGATTAGTCAAACGCTTATTCCCTTTTTTTAACGTTTATTTTCCCAGCCATGTACAGTCTTTCACATCTCCGCTATGACTTCTTAAAAAAACTACCTGCTTGGTCCAAGATAGAGGGTGACATCCCCACTTTGCTATTTGTACCATAAATATAATATTGCCCTTACAACACCTACCCTCCAAAATGAAAATTTTGGAGTTGAAGCACAAAATTTTAGTTATACATATACGTAGGAGCTAAAAAAAAATAATATTAAAATACAGTTGAATACAAAACAACATCGGCATACAGGTGAACATATAATTCACACAATGAAATACGTAACAAAAAAATCTTCAATATTACAAAGTACAATGTTCATAGCGTTATAATATAGACAAGACATGTGTGAAAAGAGAAATAATACAGTACAATACACAATAAAAATAATTACATGGTGATACAAACAAATTCTTCAATTTTAGAAACTATGAGATTTACATACAGGATTTTTTTTTGTTTACAAGTATAATAAAATATATATTAATATAAAAATAAGGGAAAAAAGAGAAAATCGAAAAACGAAGCATCAAGCAAAGTAATGATATTTGTGCCTTAATCACTGATGCGGAACTTTTTTAATCTATTTAAATGAACCTTTACCTGTTTTCTATTGATCAAAATTGTGCAATTTACGTCAGAGTCTACTGAAATTACCTCATAAGGTCCCTTGTAAATGGGTTGAAGTTTTTTACATTTTCCAACAGACGAACTTTCATCCTCAAGAAGTACTAAATCGCCAACCTCGAATGTTTGAGTGTTGGTGTTTCGGTCGTAATATATTTTTGATTTCTGTTTATTTGAAAGGAGATTATTCCTTGCGGCTTCATGACAATGTTGCAATCTTGACTTTAGATCTATTAAATAATTGTCGTAGTTATAAAAAGTTTGAGGAGTCCTTTGTACTGATAAAGGTAGAACGGCAGTTCGACCAAAATTAAGTTCGAATGGCGTAAATTTAGTTGCTGTGTGTGGTGTCGTATTGTAAGTGAATGCAGGATATGGCAAAAACTGATCCCAATTATTTGCGTCCTTGTTTACAAAACTTCGCAAATACTCATTTAGCGTTCGGTGCGACCTTTCTACGGTTCCCTGTGTCTGGGGATGGTGACTTGTACTGTGTAATTTTGATATTGAAAGTAACTTACAAATATCCCTAAATAATTTCCCCATAAAATTAATTCCTTGGTCACTGAGAACTGAATCTGGCGTACCGTATTGACATATAACGTTCTCAGTAAAATGTTTCGCGACTGTTGCTGATTCTTGATTAGGAATTGGTATGGCAATTAAGAACTTTGTCAAATCGTCGGTTACAGTTAAAATAAACTTGTTGCCATTCTCGGTGGTAGGAAATGGACCCGCAATATCTAACGCTACTTTTTCGAAAGGTTTGGAGGAGGTTGTAGTTATTTCCATAGGCATTTTTGTTTTTAAGGAACTTTTATTTTTTTGACATTTATCACAAGATTTTATATAGTTTTTTATATCACAGTACATTTTATGCCAATTATAATTGTTAGCTTTCAAACGACTAAAAGTCCTGTTTATGCCTTGATGACCTCCTAAAGGTGTTAAGTGATATTTTCGAAGAACATTTTGTATTTCCTCTGGTGAAAATTTGGAAATTTTATTATCCTGACAAATTAAAATTTGAGTAGAAGTTGATTTAAAAATGTAGCGAAGCATAGTACGTACATCTGAGATCCTTAAATGTTGGCCTTTTATAGTAAAACTGGGAGTTGCAATTTTTTGAATACTATTTTTCAAACAAAATGTTTTTAAATTTATTAATGCGTAAAAGACATTTTCGAGGGAAACTTGCTCATTTTCAGAATCCTTTAGAATAAGATACATATAATATCGTTCATCAGATTTCAAAAACGCTAACTGACGTACTTGTGCATTTTGTGATTTTAACTCGTCTACACTATTATACGAGCCCTAACAACTAAATGTTCGGACACGTATTCTTTTATACAAAAAAATGTAATTTAATGAAAAAAAATGTATTTTACAAAAACAAAACTAGAGTAATATATAAGTAGGTATCTTTAATGCAATATTCTCAACAAAAATTGTAATATTATTAACTTAACAAAATTATAACACAACAAGAAGTTGATATGAACGAATAAACTTGGCAACTAAATATTCGGACATGAGTATTTTTTTTTACTTAGTATGGTGTAACATCTCCTTTTGCTTTGATTACTGCGCGTATCCTTGCAGGCATAGTACTTACAAGACTTCTGCAGTATTCAGGAGTAAAACTTGCCCAAACTTCGTCGATTTTTGCTTTTAAACCTAAGAGTGTTCGTTGGGGGTTGTTGCGCAAAACGGATTTTATGTCGTGCCAAAGTGTCTCAATGACATTTAAGTCAGGGCTGTTCGCAGGCCATGAAAGGACTCTTATATCATGATCCCCAAACCATTTCTTAGTACTTTTTGCGGTATGACATGATGCATCGTCCTGTTGAAAAATATAATCGTTGTCCGGATACAGTTTTTCAACAGAGGGCAACAAACTGTTTTCTAAAATTTGTTGGTATTTCATGGCGTTAATAGTCGTTTCCACCAATTCATAATTCCCCAACCCTTTAGCTGACATGCACCTCACACCATTATTCCTTTAGGAAACTTTACAGTTCGTTTTAAACAGTCTTTATTGAACGCTTCACTTTTTGATCTTATCACTCTTCTCCGCAAATCTCCCACGCCCACATCAAATTTTGTCTCGTCACTAAAAATGACCTTTGACCAATCTTCCATGGTCCATGCCAGCTTAGACTTTGCCCAGTTGTACCTATTTTTCTTTTGATTTGCCGTTATTAAAGGTTTTTCTTTGGCCTGTAACAGCACGGTGGAACAAATGTAAACCAAAAACTTAAAAATTACCTTATAAAAACTTAATCCTGACTTGTGAATCAATTTCCTACAACATTCTCGTGACAGCTTATGCCCTATTGCATCCGCCCATTGTGCTGTTATGTCCCGCAATGTATTTCTTCGATTTTTTTTACAAAGTTTTACAAGGAGCCTTTGACTTCTTTCTGAAACTAATTTCGGTCTTCCTGAACTTTTTCCTTTAACGTCTAGTCCACCAGTTTCGCGATAATGTGAGATTATATCCGCTACAGTGGACTTTGCTAAATTCAGTTCTTCACTAATTTCCCGAATTTTTTTACCTTGGCAATACTTCTTTACAATAAGTGCACGTAATGATTTTTCAAGCG